ATAGGTATATGCTTTGAGGTCAGAAGTGGGGGTCGGTTACCTAACCCAGACAGATCAAGTCAGAGAAGGTTTTCTCAGGGGGATTTTCAGGATGAATGGGAGGTAAGCAGGTGAAGGGGCTGGGAGAGCTTTCCTTGGCTTAGGGAACTATGTTTGTATGATACATTTATCTGTATGGCTGATGTTTTCAGAGAGGTAATTTATGACAAGACATGACATTGGTCAGGTATTCAGGAAATAAATTATGAAGGCAAATTACTTTAGATTTTCCTAAAGAGTTTTAAGCAGAAAAGTGACTTGTGTTTTGAATCATTTTGACAGCATCCTGGAGAGCAGACCAGAGGCACATGGGTGGATTGGTGGCAGAGAACTACGTTTGTGGTATATTTTTGGTAATCTCAGTGAGAGATGATGAAATCTTGAACTGCCAGCAATAGGCACAATGGAGAGATGGACAACTTTCAGAGTGATTTGGGATTTGGAAGCAATCAGACCTGGCCTCTGATTGAATATGAGAATTTGAAGAGAAGAGGACTAAAGGATGCCTCCCAGTTTTCTGGATTGAGTAGTCAGGTGGTAGTTGGCAGCATTCACCCAGGTAGTAAATGCACAAAGTGGTAGTATATTTGATCGTGTTGAGTTTGAGGTGCCAGAGGGACACCCAAGTGGAGAAGTCCTGCTTAGACAGGTGCACATGTGGCCTGGAGCTTTTAAGGGAGACTGGTGTTGGAAATATAAATATTTAAGAGACTTTGGTGTATAATTGGCAATTGAAGTCTATTAGACTTGTAGGTAAATGAGACCATAGAAAGGTATGTAGTAGAGGTAGAAGAGGGCCAAAGATGGAACTCTGGGGTTATTGAGTGAGAGGGTCAATGAAGATCCTTGAAGAAGATGAGTAGGAGTGTTCAGGGAGGTGAGAAGACCAGAAGAGAGGCCATAGAAACTGAGGGAAGGTGCACTTCTGAAGAGGGTGCAACCAGTGTGCAATCAGTGGCAGCCAATGCTGCACAGATTTCAAGTAAGAAAAGCACTGACAAGTGGCTACTGGATTGCGTAAACAGGAGGCCAGTGGTGACACTGTTGGAAATAGCTCCAGTGCAGTGGTGGAGCAGAACCCGGAATTCGCTGGGTTGAGAAGTGAATGGATGAGGAAATTGCAAAGAAGAAGTGTTTCGTGTTTATGTCTCAGTGCTTTCTTGGGAAAGAAAGATACAAGGCCATGAAAGAGGAGTTGTAACTATCAAGAAAGGATTGTCAAGAGAGGGGATGCTTTTTGTTTTAGTAGGAGAAATTATGTGCTGAAGTGAATGAGCCGTGTGGCTTTGGCCTAGGCAAGAAAGCTTCTGCTTGAATCCACATAGGACGTGAGCAGGAAAGATGGAGCTGATGTGATTAAGGTTGCATGTATGCTAGGAGGGGAGTAGGTGGGGATGGAAGGATTATTACTTGGCCATTCTATATATCTACGTTATAAAAGATGGTATTTAAAACCACAGTTGGGCCATGTAATTTTTGTGGTGAAGAGTCTAGATTCGCTACAGGAAACTTGGACAATTTATAAATCTCTAAACCCCAATGGGAGAAAGGGTATTACTTAATAATATCATAGATATTCACTTTTATTTAAATAATCTTACTAGAAGATGAAATAGAAACTCCATATACCATTTTTTTTTTTTTTTTTTTGGTCATTGATCAGAAGGTTTGTTCAAATTATATCTCTGTTGTTGGCATTTTGGAACTTGAGGACAACAGAACTGTTACAACAGGAATTTTTAGAGCCAGTTTTGACCACAGTGAAGCGGCTGTGAAGGCTGAAGGTCAGGAGCATGATTGATTGGTTGATTAGAATTCCTTTTAAAGCAAATTAGAGGTGGCAGGTCTGCCACAGGTGAGAAGTACTGCAAAGAAATGAATCTCATTATCAGATAAAACTTCTTAGATCATCAAAAAAGAAGTTTAGTGTTTAAAACACACACACACACACACACACACACACACACACACACATATGCATATGAATTCCGTTTGTGATTATTATACAACCCAGCATCTAGCCTGACTTTCTCTATAGTTATAAATAATAAAGAGGTATGTTTTATAGTTTTAATTCAGGAACAGGTGCTCTAATTGCAAAATAATTTATCAGTTCAGTTTAGCCACTTACTATATTTGGGGTCTTCTTGATGACTGAATTTGTGACTAGGCATTTGAGTTTGGGATCCGTGGGGTAGAAGGAGGTGGAGGAGCAGGAAGGAAGCTAGGACCAGTGTTTAGGAAGGGAAACGAGGAGTAGAGGTCAAAGAATGGAGAATTATGTGTATATGGTGGTGTTTAGGAAAAACTCTCTCTGTATGTTTCCTCTACTCTCACACTACAATAATCATCAACACAGAAGAAGGCTTCTGTGAACAAATGCGTGGGGTTGTTCCCCATGCACCAAGCAGAGGCACCAGTTGAGTGTCCTCTAATTCAGTTCTGACACTCTCTACCCAGAGATAGTGTCAGATCTCACAGGTTGAGGGCTCAGTTCCCATGAGTGCCTTCTCCTCCCTTCATTCCCCCTGGACATTCACAAGTCCTGACCTCCTGAACTTCTGACTGATGACTTCCTCTTGGAGTGTGATTAATTTGCTGGAGAGGCTCACAGGATTCAGTAATAATACGTTTATTATTACTGGCTTATTATAGAAGATATTGCAAAGAATACAGATGAAGAGATGCGTAGGGCAAGGTATGGGGGAAGGGGTGTGGAGCTTCCATGCCCTCCCTTGGTGTGCCACCCTTCCAGGAACCTTTATGTGTTCAGCGATCAGGAAGCTCCCTGAACCTTTTCCCCTTGGGTTTTTTATGGAAGGAAGCTTGGTGACATCAGCATTCCTTCCCCCAAAGTATAGGGTAGGACTCTCTCATGGAATGGTCTTAAGACCCACAGTCAGAAAGCTGGGGGAACATAAAGTAAAAAGAGGGCAGGAGGTCAGGGGCCTGCCCCTGAGGCCTAACACACCCAACATGGCCTAACACGCTCACAGCAAGGGCTGTGCGAGTTATGAGCCAGGAACTGTGGGCGAAAACCAATATACCTCCTAACACCGCAGATGGGGGTGTGGGTCTCAGTCTCGGAGAGTGGCATGAGGCAGCAGTCTATGGAAAACTAGTATTTCTCAGGAACTAACACACGCTAGACACCAAGCTCTGTGCCTTCATATACTTTATATCCTCACAATAACCTAGCAAGGTGGGCATTGGAATTATTTGAAGTTTCAAAGGAAGAAATGAAAGGAGGTGAAGAAATATTTTTAAAAGATCTTTTAAAAGTAAAGAAAAGTAGTGATGATGATAATTGTTTTTAGAGTTAGAAATTCTTTCAATTGTAATCGATGGTGTTATTCTAATTTTTCTTTAGTCTTAGGTGTTTGAGTCAAAAGGGTTAAAATTGTCTTTGAAGCTGGTAACCTGATGCTAGCTGAATTCTCCTTTTGTGTGTGCTTGGAAATTTAACAATAAAACATTTCAAAAAGGAACAGGCAAAGAAATAAAATAGTCTTGGTAAAGATAAAAATGAGAGTATATTTATGAACAGCAAGAGGACTTTCTTCTCTCGTCTACCAGATTTGTATGATAACCATAGCCTTTGAAATTATTTTGAGCCAAAATTATTAACAAATCATTTAATAAATAAAAACGGTAGAGTCAGTTGTTTTCAATGGGTCACTTCAACTTTATTTAAGATGAAGACTCAGTTTAGAAATAGGTGGCTTCTTCATCTTCATCCTGTTGCAGTGGGAATTGTCTCTAAATGAAGGAGTGTTCATGCTGGAAAGAGGCCCAGGGCTAGAAATGTTTTGTTGCAGAAGGTGTATAGCTCGAAGGGGGCGAATCAGAGTTTAGGCAGGGAGCATCTTTTCATGTAAAACACTGTGGCACGGACCGTGGGGAGCTACAAAGGCAGGAAGATAAGATAGCAGTGATACCCACGGAAGGCTTACTCTGTGCTGGGGGCACGCTCAGCACTTCCCGTATGTTTAATCCTTACTGTGACTCTAGGACATAGGTACTATTCTTTCTCATTTTCAAAAATTTTAATTTTTTATTGTAGTAAAATGTACAAACATAAAAATTATCATTTTGGCCATTGTTAAGCATACAGTTCACTAGCATTAAGTACATTAATGGTCTTGCGTAACCATCACCACACATGTCTAAAACTTTCTCATCTTCCCAAATTGAATCTCCGTACCCATTAAACAGGAACTCCCCATCCCCTCTCCCCTGAGCCCCTGGCAACCACTATTGTACTTTCTGTCTCTGAATTTAATCACTCTAGGAACCTCATATGAGTGGAACCATACAGTATTTTGTCCTTTGTGTCTAGTTTATTTCAATGAGCATAACATTTTCATGGTTTGTCCATGTCGTAGCTTATGCCAGAATTTCCTTCCTTTTTTTTTTTTTTTGAGACGGAGTTTTGCTCTTGTTACCCAGGCTGGAGTGCAATGGCGCGATCTCGGCTCACCGCAACCTCCGCCTCCTGGGTTCAGGCAATTCTCCTGCCTCAGCCTCCTGAGTAGCTGGGATTACAGGCACGTGCTACCACACCCAGCTAATTTTTGTATTTTTTTTTAGTAGAGACGGGGTTTCACCATGTTGACCAAGATGGTCTTGATCTCTTGACCTTGTGATCCACCCGCCTTGGCCTCCCAAAGTGCTGGGATTACAGGCTTGAGCCACCGTGCCCGGCCCTAGAATTTCCTTCCTTTTTACGGCCAAGTAGTATTCCATTGTCTGGATAGAGCACATTGTGTTTCTCCATTTTTTTCACCAATGGACATTTGGGTTGCTTCTGCCTTTTGGCTATTATGAATAATACTGCTTTGATCATGGGTGGGTGTACAGTATCTTTTCCAAATCCTGCTTTTAGTTATTCTGGGTACAGACCCAAAAGTGGAATCGTTAATCATATGATAATTCTATGTTTAATTTTTCAGAACCTCCATACTGTTTTCCACAGCGGCTGTACCATTATCCATTCCCACCAGCAGAGCACAGGGATTCCAGTTTCTTCACACAGGAGGTAGGTAACTATTTGTCTTTCAGTGTTTCAGGGGAGAGAGGGAAGTACAGAGAGGTTAAGTGAGCTCACATAGCTAACATGTGTAGACTTGAATCTGAATTTGACTCCAGAACCTTAACTCCTGTGACATACAGGTAAGGTGAGGCACAGAGAGTCTCAGGGGCATGATTGAGGACCCCTGTCTAATAGTGTCAGTGATTCAGAGCCTGCCTTCAGAGTTCATGTTGTCAAGGACTCGTAGAGTTTGCTCTTTTTTAATAAAAATTCTCTTTAACAAAAGTAATCTTTGCATATTTTTATATGACATTTTCCTGCCTTTCCAAATTTATGCTTAAAGATGTTCTTGTTATTTAAAATATTATCTTTAAAAACTCTAGTATCATTGATTTCCCTTTAAGATTTTTGAGTAAAATTTTACCTTTAAATAATTTAAAGCAAATATGCATTGGTTCCCGTGGAGTTTTTAAAAACATCTCCACTCTATCCATTCCCATCAGCAGTTTACTTTTAAATAAAACAAAGCGACAGTATCTAAAGCTGGATTTAGGTTAGGGAAAGCCTAGAGGGTGTCAACGGTAAATATGGAGGACTTTCAACATTTAGATAAGGTGAATTTTGCAGCTTTATCAACAGAGGAGCAACAGCTAAGAAACTTACACATTTTTCTGTATTATTTTTGTTAAAGAGGATCTGTGTTTTCCCTCAGAGTCACAGTGGGGCTGTATCCATTCTGAAAATAGCGCCGTCCCTGGGTGATGCTGCTCTGCTGGGCCTGTGTGTCGGTTCATGTCACTGTCTTGTTTCCAGTGCTTCTTGTATTGTTGTCAGGGAGATGCCCCTTGCAAATACAGACTGAGTGGCTTCTTGGACCCTGCGTCATCAGGGTTGCATTTTAAGGCTGGGAAGACTCAGTGTACATGGTCCTCAGCCCTACTCCCAGGGTTGGGGATGGGTGGCTTGTACGGTATACCATCTTAGCTGGTGGTTTTAGACAAACACTTGGCTTTAGACAAATGCTTCTTGTTCCAGCATATCAAGGGCCCATGATCTTGCTAAGAGGAACTCTCTGATCTGGAAGATATCTTGAGAATAATCTCTGATTCGGGGGTTCCCAGCTGTGGCTGTACACTGCAGTCCACCTGAGGAGCTTAGGAAAACAATGATGCTAGAATCTCATGTCCAGCGATTCCAGTGTAACAGATCTGATGTGTGCCTTGGTCACTGGGATTTTAAAAACGCTTCTGTGATGATTCTAATGTACCATCAAGGTGTAGGACCACTGCTGTAATTTCTTTTTAATACTTTGGGCTTTAAATAAGATTTTTACCATCAAAAGACACAAAAATGTCAGGAGGCGGAGGTTGCATTGAGCCGAGATTGCACCACTGCACTCCAGCCTGGGCGACAGAGTGAGACTCCATCTCAAGAAAAAGAAAAAGATACAAAATATCTTTTCTTAGGTGTCCTTATTAGCTGCGATTGCTGAAATTTGTTCCTCTCATGTGAAAGAGAATTTCATCTATTTTGTTAATTTGTGGTGGAAGATCATTTTTATGTCTATAGAGTATGTTTTTATAGTAACATGATATAGTGAGGATTGATAAAAGATAGATCTAATTTACTCTTCAGAGTCTTGCATTTTGGAAGATAAAGAGTGATTGCTTGCCTAGATTTCAATGCAAGCTTTAACTCACTTTGGGTTTTGATGGCAGTTTCATTTTATAAACTAAAGACTATGCTATGTAGATATCTGTGCTGATATTTCTGATAGTTTCTGAAGGTTTCTCATTTAGACTGTCAACTCTGGCAAACATAGTTATAATGCTTTCTACACTCCTGTGTATTTAAACACTTAACCTTATTATTAAATTAGGAAATCTAGGTGTATCTTTGAGTAAACCATACAGTAAACCTGAAGGTTCTTTGGTTTGAAGGAGTGCCTTGTCTAAGCCCCTTCTGGGCCCCTGGGATTCGTTTAAAACTCCAGAGCTGTATTGGTGTAGTCTTCTCTTCTGTAACAGCAATGTCTGTTTTGGACTGTGGGTTTGAGCATATTTGGTTGAAAGTTCATCAAAATGTGGAGTTAAATATATTACAGTGGGTTGGGGAAAAGCAACTCATATAAAACAATTGTGCTTTTGTAAAATGAACATTCTAACACACACACACACACACACACACACACACACACACACACACACACACCCCGGGACAGAAAATGGGGATAAATTGGTGGACCCCACACAAGTAAGGATTATGTGAGATGATTTCAGTGAACCATGTCCTTCATGTTGGGCTTTCACTCAAGCAAACAGATTAAAAACACTTGGTCCCTACCCCCTTAAGAACTTACCCAGGAGCTCCTTATGCTGTTGGTCATTTATCTTCTTAGCCAGGTACTTTTCTGGATACCAGTCACATCCATCTACCTTCCTTGTCACTTACAGACTCCAGGTGACAGTCTTCCCACATGTTGGCACACTTCTACTTCAGAACTTTCCTCTAGAGCTCTGCTTCCCTGAGTTTGGTCCTAGGAACAGCAGAATCTCAGGCCCCATTCAAACCCGTGTTGTGTTGTTTAACAAGACCTCCAGGTGACTTCTGTCTGCAAAATGTGTTAAGATTCAGATTTTGTTTCAGTAGGGCTTGGTAGGACCTGAGCTTCTGTTGGGTTCCCGGGCAGTGCCCATGTCGGTCTATGTACTACGTGGTAGATAGCAAGGCTTTGCTGTCAAGAGAGCTTATATCTCCCTTGTGTCACAGAGTAGCAGAGCTGCTTGGGTTATCTGATGACATGGGATGACACAGGCTAACCAAGTACCTCCGTCCTTGGGAAGTTGAAGTTAAAAGAAGAGTGCCTGGTTACACAGTTCTCAGAGTTTTGCTTGTACACTGAATCCTCTCCTCAGTCTTAGGAGGTAAACACTATTACTGTCTTGTACAGATGGAGAGATGAGGCATAGAAGTTAAGCAGCTTGAGCAAAGTCACATGAAGTAACCAGTGAAAGAGCAGGGCTCTGAACCAGGCAGTGTGGCTTCGGTACCAAGCTTTGCGGTTATTGCTGTGCACTTCCTGAGTGTGCCGGGCTGCAGCTGTTGGCAGGTAGAGTCGGATCGTGGTGCGGAAATGAGAGTGTCTTGGTTTGGGCAGTGGAGTGGTTCCAGAAGGCATGCTGAATTCAGGACTGAGGTCAGCATAAGGAGGGCTGAGCAACAGAGAGCGGGATTGTGTGGTTCATGTTCAATGGACAGGGCTAGTGGAGGAGGAAGACACGCAGGCTGCCAGCTGCTGAGGAACAAGAGTAAGTAGCATCCTTTTATTAAGCATTCATAGGTGTCAGATGCTGGGGTTTACATTTGTTATTTCATCTGACCCTTATAATGATTCTGTGGTACAGGTACAGATCTTATAGAGAAGGGAACTGAAATTCAAGAGAGTAATTTTCCCAAGGTGTATAGGGAGAAGAGTAGCTTAACTTTAATGTTAAGTCAGTGCTGTCTGCACAACCTGTATCTGAAGCTTCTTTGCCCTGCTGCTTCCCTGGCAGGGACTTAGAGGGGAAGTGAAGGTGTAGAGGAGAGACAAGAACTTGAGCATTGACACGAGGGTATAAAGAGGTGCCTGGACACAGGGATGAGGGGTGAGAATGCAAGCGCTGTGCCTGGGACTGACTGGTTAAAACTGGACTGGAGATCCCTGAGATCTTCCTGAGTAGGGTGGTGCCTGGATTGGCACTGGGCTGAAACTGCATGTGGGGTTAAATGGCCCCGAGGTGAAGTCGGTTACCATCTGATGATTAAGGCCCGTTAGGGCTGAGCACGCGTATTTACCTCCTGTGTCTTCATCCTAGTGTCAGCTCAGGAGAGCCACTCCTGCCCTCCCTTTGACCCTGCCCTCCCCACGACTCTGTTTCTTAGACAAGTGAGTGTGTGGCAACATTGGCTGCTCCCCAGACCCCTTGCTTCTCTGGAAGTGAAAAGTTGCTTCTGCTTGCCTTCCTCCATCTTTGTGATTATGTATTTCTTGCCACAGACATTTCTCATTGCTTCCAATGTGAAAATCTGGGCTTGTTACTCTAACCAAATGACTGTACAGCCCCATGTGACCCCAAATAAATTTTTTAAATGGATAACTAAGCTGACAGCACGTGAAGTATGCCCAGGGAATTCTCTGCCTCGGGATGCTCATAATGAAGGGAATTGACTGGGGTTAACAGATGGACACTGCTCATTTTTTGGCAATCATTGGCAAATACGCAACACCTCCAGGTGGCTCTCCATGGACTGCTCTGTGTGGCTCAGCCCATGATGCCTGTGCGTCTGTAGAATGCTAATGGTCTCTCTTCCTCCCTGAGTAACGTAGCAGGCTGCATGATCTGGTATGGCTCTTTATCCTTGAGATCAAAGGCATGCATATCATTTTTAAATAAAAGATTATATTTTAATTATAGAGGCATTATAGCAGTATTACAAAAAGCTTAGAAATAGAGAAAGGAAAACACCCACATTTACCACCCTAGAACATGGTAATCAGTGTTTAAACAATTTTTCAGTGGTTTTTCATAGTTGTATCAGTTGTTTTGTGTGTGCATTTTCCCTTATTGCTGTGTAATCTTCACAGTTACCATTTGAGTGGTTGTATAATATTCTGTTGTGATGCCACATCATTAATTATTTAACTCTATTGTTGACATAAGGATTACTTCCAGCTTTTTACAGTTACTAATAATAGTTCAAGGTATACATTTGTGCACATAGCTATTTTCATATTTTGAGTTAGTTTCTTACGATAGGGTCTCAGATGTGACATTACTGGGTCAAATAGTATGAACATTTTTATGGCTTCTAAAATATATTGCCAGATTGCTTTCCAGAGGAGTGGAGGCAATTTACAATACTACCACAAAGACATTCATTTCCCCGATGGCCAACTTGGTTAGGAACGCAGCCTCTCACAGTAGATAAGAAGCTGTGTTTGTGTTTGTGTGCGTGTATAAAAC